AATATATATATACGTATGTATAAATGAACGTACGTATGTCCGGTTTTTTCCGTTCTCTATATCTCGAGCACCATTGAAGATATCGACTCCAGACTAATTTCATACGAAAGGTAATGCAATGAAGATTTGAAAATAAGTTTGAACAAATTCGGTTTGGCCGTTTTTTTTATAATATAAAGACTGGAAAATAAGTTGAGCAAAGAAGACACTTGAAATATAGTCTACTTATTAGATGATTAATATTATTAAAAATTGAGGTTAATATTAATTTATTATGGTTGTCAATGACTTCACATGGCTCTAGACAATTATCATCTGGGATTACGAAATTAAAGTTTGAATATTTTAATAATTACAACATTGAATATAAACCTGGTTTTTATTACTAGATTCCATCTATTAGTAGGTAAATAAACATTTTTTTTACTTTGTATGAATGAGAAATTCAATATTACTCATCAAAAGAAGGATATACTGAAATTTAAAAGAGTCGCAAAAAGACTTTACGTACATATATTCACGCACCACTGAATTTTCAATGCTTATATTGATTCTTGGGGTCGACGAATATACACATTTACTCACTACGCGCCAGTAGAAAAGGAACGTCATGACTAGACGATGAACTTAAGCTGACGATAACGTTGGATGCTGTCATTCACGTTGTCAATATATTGGGAGGGTAATGCTAGATCTCTTCAGGGACCAGCAATATCTTTCTATAGTAAACAAACTTTCCTTTCGCTCTTAGAGATTCATCTTAGAGTATATCCTACATTATACGAGGTGAATATTTGCCTCGAGTTTTCTCTAAGATGTGTCATCTATTCAATAAAATAATTTTTCATATTTCACGACGTGAATAATTGTCTCTATGCTTCTCTAAAGTTGAAAATAATAAATGAAAGTAAATTTCAACATAGATTAATGTTAAAGAGGGAATTAAAAATTAAACACTTTCGTTTAATTATGTGAATCAATTGTTTTCATTTAACTTAATCGTAAAAAGCAAGTGATAATAAGAATAATTGTTAATTATAATTATTTTTCTATTATTCAGTGAATATTAAAAATTATTCTGTTATTGTATGAACTTTTTTTGATGTACTGTTTAATTTATAAGGTTTATTAATTAATACCAAAAATTTTTACTGAAAAAACAAAGTACACTTGACATAAAAAAGCACTTTAGATTATTTTCAACGCCAACAATACAAAACCTGAAACATGTACGTACACTTGTCCGTACGTACGTACGTGAATTTTTGAACCTTATAAAATGTTTTTAAACGTCTCAATACGTAATGAAATGACAAAATAACAAATTTCGAACATTAATTTTATTACAATTACTTCCTAATGGGAAATTAATAATAAATATTAATTAAGTTTTTGAACAGTTTAAAGAGTTTATTTTCACCATATTATCTTTCAAACAGAATAAATCAATGGATGTATAGATGAAATAGCAACGAGAATTTGAAAATGAATTAAAAATGTTACTTTATTTCATCGTGAAAAAAATTGTTGAGTATTGGCGAGAAAGTAGAATAAATATTTTTTATTAAAGGATTATTTTATATCGTGATAAAAAGTTGTACTAGTTTGTTTACAAATGAAGCCAAGTTTAATAGCAGCCTACATCATGAATTTATCGTAGAAATTATCTATTGATTTATTTAGATATCTAGATAAATATTACAATTTTTTCTCTATTAATGTATGTACATATAAATAAGATATAACAGTAATTCTTGTATAATTAAAAATACATTGATTATTTTAATTTAATAATCAACCAAGTACATTTCAGTGAATCCACAGCAATTCAATCAACGAATCAATTAAAAATGCTGTTTTCAATATTTAATTTTCATTTCGATACCGAATTAATTTACATTTATTTAGACCTGAAATTATTAGCAGTAATGAATGATGGTGACAGTAACAACAATAATAGAAACATTGATTATAATACTGCATAAATATAAATGTGTTATGCGTCCATGTGTTCTTTATTTGAAGTAAAAAATTTAAAAATGAATTTAATAATTTATTATTATTTATTGAATTTATTTAGATAAATATTTTTTTATTATATTTTATTAATCAATATTGTGTTGAATGATGCTTCAGACGAAATTTAGTATGTATTAAGAAAATAGTATCTTTTTCGCATAAATATTTAATTAAAAACGAAAAGAAAAGTAAAAGAAATAAATATCGCTTTTATTTTAACCAATAAAAATTAATTATTCAATCAAAAAAGGTAAGAGAAGGGATGCTGGTACCTGGTAAGAACAGCTAAAAATGCTCTTTGAGTGACATTTGACTTCAATCAATTAAATCTTAAAGACGTATTAAATTCTTATAAAAAGTTATTATGAATAATTAATAGTGATAATATTTGTAAAATTAAAATGAATACAGTTTGGAATAAAAATTATTATACTGTATTAAATATCAACAGCAGCTCTAGATTTATTATTAAATAAAATTTCCAACTGTCTTCTAAATTATTTTGTTAATTTAAAAACAACCCTATGGATGTTATCCCATTATTTTTTATTTTTAAATGAAAGAACAATTAATTTATTATTTGAAATAATCATGCAACAACCTCTTACTTATAATAATTTACGACACCACAAACGCATAATTGAAAAATCAACATCAAATATATAGATATATACATTACCATTTGTGATTATTGAGCCTAGTATTGAAATTGATTTCTCGTGCACTATATTATATTGTCCTGCGGTTTCCTATAGAATTAGGAAGAGCAAGGAGAGAGTAAGAGATAGTAAGGATTCGCACGAGATAGTACCCTTGGGCGATCCACAACAATAGTTTGAATGGGAATGGGCTATCATTGCTAATCGATTGCCACTGGGACATCTTTGATAATGTAATCAGGAAAATCTATGGCCCTATAAAGCAAGAAATTAATTTTCTTAGATTTCTAATTTAATAAATAGAAGCTCGATTTTTTTACAGGTCATTGATTCTTGCTTGTATCATCCTTAATTACCATTCCTACAGATTTAATTATTTACTAATCTTAATAAAATAATTGGTTGGATCAGTTAAAATTGTGTTTATTTTATATTGATGCTTACCAAGTCAGGTTGGCAGCTGAATACAGTTGTAGTACAATTTAAGTGATTTTTCTAATAAAATAATTGAAACTGTTCCTAGAATAGTCAGCATTTGGATCAAAATTGTATTATTATTTATTATCAAAGCATTTATTAAATAAGTCTCTTTAACAAAAATAAATATTGGCACAATACTAACCTATTCCAGGTCCAATGTTGGACCAATGTAGCCAATCTTGATCCAACATTTGGCTGAAAATGGATCAACCTTTATTGCTGCTAAAATTCTAACGACATTAACGTAGAACAACCAATAAATATCTTATGGCAACAAAAATGGTATTGACTTTTCATTAAAAAATATATCATCCAATTAGTGTAAGATGAATATTTATAAACTAGGATTATGAAAATAGCCTCAAATTGACTTGAAGCATAATATTGATTTTTAGAAAGCAGAAATTATTTTCATTCAACAACAATACATACCACACTGAGACCATAATACCTTCTATTGCTAACTTTTGGCAATAAATATTGAATGATGAATTGAATTACACTATGTGGATATTCTTTCAACGATTAAGCAATTTAATTATAACCTCTATGTTCGATTATTTACAACCTTTAGTTTATTTATTGGTTCTCTTTGTTTTTATCACATCGTTTTACAACTATAACAAGTAACCCAGGGATTCTAAATTTTTTTCTCTGACCCTGGTCAAAATTTATCTAATGCTAGCTGAATTAGGATACTGCGCACGTGCAGTTCTATATGCTCAGCACATATCTGTAGTATCTACTGGCTGGCGACTCGATAAATACCGGATTCAATTTCTGCATGAAGTTTCCTAATATACAAATTATATGTAGTATCTCAGCAAAAATTCTTCATCGATTACTACTCATGTCGACTTAATATCATTTGCCTCAAAAGAATTAATTTAATTACCACAGAAAAATGTTAATTGCTTATAAATAATGTTATTCTATATATCTGAGTAAAAATTATCAGGCCTAATAAAGGCCCCATTTGAATCCAAATTATTTTTCGGGCCCATAATGCATTAAATCCAAGTTAGAAAAATTTATTAGGTCCGCAACAAGGCTAATTTATTTATAAAATTAATTCTTTTTGTTAGACAGATTAAACTATTATAATTTTAATAATTGAAATGTTATTAACATCAACTATTATCTAATTATAACGAAATGCGAATGTTATTTAGCATAATTATCACTAATTAATTAATTAAGTTTATGAACCTTTTGGAGAGTGAACAATGAAATAGTTTCTTTAAAGCTACACAATTAATTATTAGCCAAACATGAATTTATATCATTCCCATAGAATAGAAATAATTATTTAAATATTCCGCCAACAGATTAAATCATTCAACTGAAAGTAATTCATTTTTTTCTTAGTATAAAATAATTAACTTGTAAACTTACTGCCACGTTTGTATGTAACTTTTTAACGTAGTACTTAAAATAATTTTGCTCTATTTATCTTCCTACAATCAAGCATAAAAGTCAGCCTCGTAATATCTTTAAGTACTGCGAATGCTCATCAATAATCCAAGAATAAAAACTGAAAAAAAAAGGTAGCATATCTTTAACTGAAATTTATGTGTTTAGATCATCTTTTATAAAGTCAGCAGTGTCTTGTCAAAGTCATTATTTGTCCTGCACGCGATTTCTGTAATATAAATCTATCGTTGAAGGAAAGTAAACCGACGATTGATGTTTGATATATAGTAGAAAGGAAGAGAGTCGAAGTGAGTAGTGTAGAGAGGGGAAGGGGGGATCGGATAAGCGAGAATTTTCGAGACCTTGAAAACGGATAGAAGCAAAGGTAGAGAAGCACACAGTGTAAACAGAAGTAAACGAATTCGACGTAGTATAGGGTCATTAGTCCTGATCGAGCTGGAGATCTATTAGTATTTCTCATAGTGTGCGTGTGTGTGTGCATGAAGCGTAACTTCGTGTAACGAATCAACGCTAGCGATGCTGATTGCGTCTTATCGCTTAAGTAACAACAAGAAGTACCGGCGTCTCGTGCCTCCCAACAGGTGTATACATGTGCCCACATAACCTGACATAGACGAGCCATTAATACAGGATCCATGTGTTTGTGGTAAGTCTACGTATGTTTATAAATGCACTCCTTGAAAGCATGCACCGTCCGTAGCGTCGACATAAATTACCTTTCCATTATCAGAGACTTAAGACTTTGCCATCAGTTATAGCAGTTAAAAGCTATTGAGAAAAAAAATGTCAAGGAGGAAGAGTATCTTTGAGTTTTATGTTTTTAATATTAAACTTTTTTTGGCATTATTTTTGTAACACTGGGGACTATTTTATAAGTAAGTGGTTTATATTGATTGCTTTTTTAAACAAATGAAATGACGGGTCAAAGTGAATTTAACCCATTAAGGCTGGGCTTTAGTAACCTCAAATAACCTCAAATTTGTCTCGTCAAACTGCGTAATTTTGATTGGCTTTTTTCATGTAAAAGATATTTCCGAATATTCAGAAAAATGGTGTATACATTAAAAAACAAAGATTGATTGTGTAAGAGCAATAATAATCGTAGAATAAATAATTTTTTTGTCAACTCTGAGGTGTCATGGCGGGTGCAGTTGTCATGAGTCTTTCACTAAAAAATTATTGATTCTACAATTATTATTGCACTTACACTATTAATCCTTATTTTTCGATATGTATACTACTTTTCTGAATATTCAGAAATATTACATAAATAAGAAAATCAATAAAAATTGCACAAATTGATGAGAAAAATTTGAGGTTAGTAAAGGCCAGCCTTTAGACCCATGGCTAGTACAGCATAGATGGCGCTAAACATTGCGGAATCATCGCAATTTTGGGGAAACATTATTTATTATGGTTGATATAATTTTTTAAAGCATCGAATTTATTACAAATATATATTAAATTAAACTTTTCTATTATTATTTTAGTTTTCAAGGTCGTTATAAGTTTTACATTTATTTAAATTCATGAAAATAATTCTTGCTCCTCATATTTGTTGATTGACTCTGTTCTTTCAATGTGGCTAGAAAAAAAATAATATTCATTTTTTATTTTTAATTTTCTCTTGTGAAATTTGTCTAAATTAAAAATTGTAGAACAATTAGTGAGAGTCGAGAGTATTAAGAAAAAAGTAGGCTAGAGTTGAGATAAAAAAAAACTGGTGAGTTTGCAATTTTTTATATTTACAACTAAATTCGAAGTAAAAAGAATAATTTTCAATTTTATTCCACTAAAATTAATAACATTAATAACATTCACTTCTAAAAAGTAAACTGATTTTTCTTTTTCAAAACAGTTGTCTAAAATTATCATCAATTCCAATCCATTATCATTAGTAACTCTGATAACAATTCAGTCAATTTAAATTGAATGAAAATTTCAAACATCCAATGAACTATCTCGAATAATAAACGAATCTATCAATGAGATATCGAATTGAAGGAAAATAAATTTTCTTTCGAAAGCATAATTGGAGTTCTTTTCGATGGTACATGTATCGAATTTAAAATAGAAATCAAATGTCCAACTGTTCTGAAGAGTATAATAGAGAGATGGGTAAAATTCTCGTCGACCTCAAGAGGAAGAGAATCGATCGGATCGCGAGGCGCGTACGAGGACTCTCGAGGGCGCGCATTTCCGGCGGCGGCACAGTAAATTTTCTCTTTCTGTCTTTCCTCTTCCTGTCTTGCTCTTTCTCTCTTACTCTCTCGGGATTTTACTACTTCCCCTCGTTGACGACGTGGTTGAATCAAAAGTTGTATAATTAATTCGCCGGGTTGCGGTATAACCCGATCGTGTTGAGTGACTATAATTTGCATTTTTATTTTATTGTTTTTCGTATATATGTATTAAGGTATGTCTATGCATGTGTATTTTAGCAGTAAACATAAGACTCTAGTTTTCCAATAGTGTGTATGCGCTTTTAAACTAAATTCATGAGTGTTACGGAGATTTTTAAACAGATGACGATGGATAAATGTGCGATAATTCATACATTTATGGTGTTGTCGCTGCATTGCGGTACAACAGAGGATAGTGTGAATAACGTTTAATTGGCGCGGGAGAATTTACATTTGTGCCGCAGGCTGCTTCGAGCCCTCTCTGCAATCGTGCATCGATAAAAATTTAAAACAGCTCATTGTATTTAAATTTTTGTGTGTATTATATCTGCTCAAATACACATTCTTTTTCCAACATCATTGACGAAATGAATTTTTTTTTATATTGAATTTTTCGATCATGTAATGTTTTTATACAATTTTTAGACCGATACTGACCAATAAGTGAATGAAAGCTAGTATGTATTGGATTAAATATTTAAAGCTAAATATTCATTTGTGTTTGATCAATTCCATCATATATTTAAATTGATCACGAATTTTAAAACCATTGGATATACAGTTTATCAGTTTTATCAATATTTTATTTAAACTTTCGATTTTATCTTGTCAATCATTTTTTAATCAACACAAAAGAAGATTTTTTAGAGATGGAATGATTTTTGGACTTGTTGAAATAATGGATTAGTAATCTAAACAAATGAAAAATTAACTGTTACGTCTGACTTATTAATTTAATTATTTAAAATAAATACAATGAAGATAAAATACAATGAATAAAATAGGAAAATATTAATCTGTGCACCTTTCCTTGTTCAATTAAAGTTTAAATAAGATAAAGATTTTAACTACACTGATAGAAATAAAATAGTTGGATTTCGATTCATCCAACTATTTTAATTATTTATGTGATATAATTGTTGTAATATATTTTTTTTAATTAGGTAATTAACTAATAGAGTAAATTAGTTAATCCTCAACATTAGCTAACAAATAACCATAATTCTATGAGTTATAAATTATACAATCGTTAGTAAACCTATATTAATAATATTATTCACTTCATTAATCTTAATTTTCTATTCATAGAATCATTTTAAATGAATTTAAAATCAATTTCGATTGAAACCATTAACTTGATCATAATAAATTAATATTTTTAATTTATTTAAATTCATCAATATCATGATACTGAAATTCTATATCACTAAACTTGAAATAATTAATTTACAAATTTAATAAACATTTTTAATTCATAGATACCATTTAAATAAAATATTCATCATCAAATAAACACCATAAAAAATGTTTTATAAATTAATGAATCTTCTCTTAAATATTATTACTAAAAAGACTTTTTTTCACGTACAGCCTCTGGGTGTAATAAAATAAGGTAAATGTAGTTCAAAGAATCATTTATTAATTAGATCTAGAAGTGATTTAAAATATTAAAACAAACTTAAACAGTAAAATAATTGTAGAGAGTATAATAAACCATATAATTTCTTAATAGCAGTGTATAATATTCATGGAGAGTTGTACAGTAATTTTTTAACAGTTTAATCTACAATTTACCTTCATAATATATTTATAAAATAGAAATAACAAAAAAAAAAGAAGAAGAAGTCAATAGTGAAATAATTTACCTCGCAAAGTTGATTGAAATGTATCACTTCTATGAATGTTTATTACTACACAAAGGTATAAAAATGGCCTAAAAAAATGATTAAAAAGATGAAAAAATTGCATCGTTATATATCGACGTGGGAGTTATAGCTCACGCATTCGTGATTCACTCTAGTTGTCGGAAGAGAGAAAAGAACGTGGAAGGTAACGAGAAAAAGAGGGGAATTAAAAATTGATTGTACTCACGGCGTGATTCACGTTCATCCTACCTGTGTTTATATTTCTCGTCTCTCGTTCTTTCATTTTTCTCTCTTCTCCTTTTATTTCATCTTTTTCCTCTTACTTTTTATTTTTTATTATCATCATTTCTCGCACTCTTCATTTGAAGTAACGTAAATTCTTTATTAATAGTCTAGTAAATTTGTTCAGACACTTCCGGTTCACTTCCATTCCAAGTAGAAAACAATATGCCAAATAAATTATTGTATCATTTTATTCACATTGTTGATCAATTTTTATGCAAGTTGCTCTATTTATTTCACATTTATGTTGTCTCGATCTTTCATCAGATCAAATTGTTAATTAAAATCGATAATTACTTGTAGTTGTAAATGAACTTTTTTCTAATAAATAGTTTAATATTTTAAATCAATTTTTTTTAATTTTAATTCATGATTTTTTTTTAAGGTATCTCGATTCAGATTAATTTTTTCTAGAGATTTTTTTTTACTACATTAAAATCAAAGCTTTTAAGAAAGAAAATAAGAAAAATCGTTTGAATAAAAAAAAAAATAAATTAATCGTTTGTAATTTAAGTTATTCGAAATCAAAATTTACTGTTCTTTCCATTTAAACCAATGACTAGATTTTTTAACATTCATCCAAAAACGATTTTTCAAATGTTCACAAAAAAATTCTCTATTATAAATACATTTGTAATAAATACTTTGTCAAAAATAAAATTGTATCATACTGTTGCTAAAAAAATAAATTAATAACAATTTTGATTTAAATTCTCCTATAAAATTGGCATTAACCTTTTTTTTCATATTTTTCCAAGTAATAGAAAAATTAATCAATATGGAAAAAGCAACTAGTGTATATATTTATTAACAATATCGATTTAATTTCAAGGAACCTTGAGTATTTTTTTATTGGGTTTGGAGTGATCGAAATACCTGAATTCTTTGAAGATAAATAATATTTATCATTCTATTTTTCATTTTATTTAAATTCAGTAAAAATGGTACTTTTTGTATTTAATTACTCATTTGAATGTATTAAAAGATAAATTCATCCTGATTAATTTATTTTGATTATTGGTATAACAAAGATTTTAGATATATTCAAAGTCTTTTTCTTCTTTGAACTGTAATTGAATAAGAAAAAGTGTACAGATTAATATTTGTCTATTTTATTTAAATCAAAATTTTTATTGCTATTACTAATGTTTTATTTCAAAACATTTGAAGTGTTCTAAAATAACGTCATCTATTTAATTAGCATTGTAGTCACTTTTAATGAACTTGGAAGTGTTTAAAAATTGACTACAATGTTAATTAAATAGACGACGTCATTTTAAAACACATTAAGTGCTTTAAAATAAAACACTAAAATT